GACAGCCAGCTGAACATGAGCCGGCAGTGTGCCCAGGCGGCTAAGAAGGCCAACGGCATCCTGGCCTGTATCAGAAATAGTGTGGCCAGCAGGAGCAGGGAAGTGATAGTGCCCCTGTACTCAGCACTGGTGCGGCCGCACCTCGAATACTGTGTTCAGTTTTGGGCCCCTCACTACAAGAAGGATGTTGAGATGTTGGAACGTGTCCAGAGAAGGGCAACGAGGCTGGTGAGGGGTCTGGAGAACAAGCCTTATGAGGAGCGGCTGAGGGAGCTGGGGTTGTTTAGCCTGGAGAAAAGGAGGCTGAGGGGAGACCTCATCGCTCTCTACAACTCCCTGAAAGGAGGCTGTAGCAAGGTGGGTGTCGGTCTCTTCTCCCAAGTAACTGGCGAAAGGACGAGAGGAAATGGCCTCAAGTTGCGCCAGGGGAGGTTTAGATTGGATGTAAGGAGAAATTTCTTTACTGAAAGAGTAGTTAAACATTGGAACAGGCTGCCCAGGGAAGTGGTTGAGTCACCATCCCTGGAAGTATTTAAAAAACAGGTAGATGAGGCGCTTAGGGACATGGTTTAGTGGGCCTGGTGTTGTTGGGTTGATGGTTGGACTCGATGATCTTGGAGGTCTCTTCCAACCTTTAATGATTCTATGATTCTGTGACAATTATTTTAAAAATCCAACTTGTTAGCTAACACTTTTTACAGGAATCACATTTTAATAATTATGAAAAGGCTGTTCTTTCAGAAAGCCTACTGGCTTTCAAATAAGCAGCATGACAAAGTAGGAGAATAGTTAAGTGACTTATATTGAATTTTATTATACATGTCCTAATACTGGGTGTCAAATAGTTTTAAATTCTCTATTGACATCCTCTGTTTGCTTGTAGTGATGCTTAATCTTCATAGTATTTCGTTTGGCAGTGAAATCAAAGGATTTCAAGTGATTGCCCTGATCTTATGCTATGTTGATAGAAAACATGTGTAACAGGATGTATTTCACTTGTTGCTGGCAGGATGTCTGGAATGTAAATATCTTCTGAATTTTTGAAATCAAAAAATAATAAGATTAAGCCTAAAGTCAGTGAAATGTTAGTGTTCAGACAATTGTCCTTTAAATTGTGGTTTATTGAGGTTAGATAGCTATGTGAATCTTCTATGTCAGTTTTGCCTTACAGAATAGAATTTTTTTAAAATAGTTCTGTAACTAAGAGGCATGACTCCCCCATTAAAACTCAAAAGATTTAGGCACTGTCTTCCCTTAAACTTCCCTGTAAATTCCATCCTTAATCTCCTCTAAAAGCCTATCTGTTTAAAATATTTACAATGTAAACAAAAAGAAGTCGTTCAGGCGATTCAGAATTTGCACTGCAGTGCAAATAAGCACTGCAGTGCTTATGTTTCTGCCCATATATAATTCAAGAGTGTATTTTGCCTCAAGATAGTCCTCCTTTTAACCAACTGAAAGTGCAGGAAACAATATTATTGCTTATATGAATTATCACTGTTCACAGTACTCTTTCTGGTTGCATCAGCGATAAAGCTGTAGAGAAAATAGTCCAAGCAGAAAACAGGATGGTATAGACTCAGGATGATGTAGGATTCTTGAGTAGCAGGCTGTTCTTGTGTAATCTCCTGTGCATAGTTTCTTCATTTTGGAGGCATTTTTGGCACATTGCATATACTTGTAATAGATATGATATGACTTACGGATTTAATACAAGTATGATATGACATGTGATAGACATGTGGATTCCCAAAATTTGCATTTGTTAGCTAAAACTCATCAGAACATATGTAAATATAGATGATGGAAAAAATATGTTTAATTTGGCAAAACAGGTGAATATGGTCAGTTATGGATCTGTTTCATGTAGAAGCTGGTATGTTTAATGTCTTTAACACCTATTAGTTACAGTTGAAATTGGATTTTTTGGAATCATGTAGTATGTAGATAACACCTCACTTTTATATGGCATGTTCCTTACTGTGGAAACTCCTGTGGGCTCTTGTGGGCCAAGCCAAGTCCACAGAAGTTAGTTGCTGGAATTCTTTTTGTATTTATAATAGAAAAATTTGGAGGAGATTTTGCTAAAAATCCTCTGAAACACGATGGACAT